CTGGTTGTGTAGATGTTTGATAAATTTGGGATTGAATTATATTAAACTGACAGAGTGACAGACTTTTGGATCATGTCTTTCCTTGAGAATCTGATGAAATTTAGCATCCTCTACTTAAATGTATGTACAATTACAGACACACATTAGTTTTACTGAATATTTTTCAGGGAATTTGGATATCTTCGAATTTCTTCCTTGAAATGCAAATTGAAAACCCCCAAACTTGGACCATGAGGAAATACTATTAGAAATATTTGACTGATGATTTTGTAGGAACAGAAAGGAAGAAATCAGATATTTTATATACATATCATGGTGATAATTCCATTCTTTGAATGAATTTACCACGGAAAGTTTTCCACAGAGATCTCTCTAAACATCATTTCTACACCAGCTTGTCTCTGAAAAACTCCACTCCATCTTTATCCTACAGACTGTTTAAATTTTCTTCATAGTAGTTGACACAATCACTAGTTTCATGTTTCTTTTTGCAGCCTGTTCTCACCAGAATTTAATCTTAAAACCTCTTTACCTATTGACAGCTGTGTCACTTGCTTCTTGAGTATCTGATGCTTAGTGATTTTTAAAATAAATAATTCAGTAATTTTAATGCATATAAACAATCCATTGGTGATATATGTGAACTCAGAGCTTTTGTACAAAGTCAAGATGATATAAAGAAATAGCTGGTGGGTATTTATTACTGTACTATGGTAAATTTTTATAATATAGATCAACTAAAAATGGTTGGTATTTTCTTGAATATTTTTAGCTGTACTTTATGACTTTTAAAAAATATTTTATTTTATTATTTTTATTTTATCTGTGTGAGTGTATTGCCTGCATGTATGTGAGTGCACCTGTGTCATGCAATGCCATGGAGGTCAGAAGAGAGCTTCTGATTCCCCTGGAACTGGAGTTCAGGATGTGGGTGCTAGCAATCGAACCTGGGTCCTCTTCAAGAGCAGCCATTGCTCTTAGCCACTGAGTCATCTCTCCAGCCCCACTTTATGACTTTTATCATATATTTTCTGAAAGGTCTGCTCTCATGTAATGTTTCTGCATCTTAAATGTAGTATGCAATGATATTATTGTGGTAATGCTTTAGTAATTTAAAAAATAGGTGCCAGCTCTTCTAGACATACTCAGGCTCTGGAAGGGAGTGATATTCAGTATTAAACAGCATGCAAATGCATAGTTTAACAGCAAACTTCTCATAGATCTGAGAAACCTCTGACAACCCATCCATATTTGCTGTGTGGTTTCATGTTTTTGATTGGGAATATTTTAAAGATGGCCATGCTTACTTTAGGTGAAATCTTCAGATTAAATGTTATGTTCTTTTATATTGTTTCAAGTAATGCTTAAATTAACAATTTATGTTTGTAAAAATAATTTGACCCTATATGAACAGAGCTACAAAGAGAGCAAGTTTTGCATCAATTTATTGATCATTTTGGAGGATGGAGCAGAATCTAAATATGACGAAAATTGCTCTAAGCCTGATGCCATAGATCAAATACAAGGGATAAGCTTTGAAGCATAATTGAAAGATTTGAGTTAGATAAAACAGCGCAGGAAATTCAGTTTGTAGGAGAATTTTCTGGTTGGGTAAATTGTATAACCAATAGTTTTCTTTATTCAAGAGATTTTCATGAATTGAATTCACATGCCTTAGAAAATAATGAATGTTGTAATGAAGTCATATTCACATTCTAGAAACTGAATTTTTTTTATTATGTGTGTTTGTGTGTCTCTGTGTGGGTATGTGCATGTGAATGCAGGTGACAGGGTAAGGGGATCAGAGGTATAGGCTGCCCATGGAGTTGAACCTACCCGAGGCTGTGAGTCACCTGATCTCAATGCTGGGAACAGAACTCAGGTCTTCTGCAAGAGCAGTAAGTTTTTTAAACCACTGAGTTATTTTTCCAGCACACAGACATGAATGTTTTTATTGTACTGTTTCTAATACAGTTTCAACAGTTCAAACGACCAGATTTTATTTAGTTCCAAACATTGTCTGTAGCCTTTGGTTAATGAGAAATTATTAGCTAATAGTTTTATGTTGAATCAAGTTAATGTTTAGAAAATGAAAACATTCCATGGTCTTGATTTCAGTTAAGATACAGTTTAGTGAACTGGAGGAGATTTAGTACATCAGGATCTTAGAAATAATCACTTGTAGCTCTGAGAAGTCAGTGATTGAGGTTTTATAGCATCCACATGTTAATTCATGTTTCCTGCTTCTAGTTCTAGACAGATTTTACTGTAGCCTTTCTACGGTCCACTTACACTGCGAAGATCAAAAAGTTGAAGCATACTTTAACATTAAATGTTTGATAATGTCACAGGAACATAAGATGCAGATATGATAAAGGATATACTCAGACCTCTTTAAGTTAGCAAGATGCCAATTTTGGTCCTGTGTTCTAAAGTATCTTATTTCTGAAAAGTTTTGGTCTTTTGAAACTCTGTAATGACTGTATTGTTCATAATTACTTTACCTTGAAGGTAGATTCTTTATTTTGCTCACAACTAGATTTGTATTTAATGTTTCCACAATAATTTGCTAATCCTTAAGCTAAGAATGAGTGTTGTTTTTAAAAAGTCTTTTCTTTAAGTAGATTTATGTTTAAGAGCTATAATGTGTAAAATTTACTTTAGGATGCATATAACTTTATTTTGAAATGAATTCATGTATGATTTTGCACAGTCATAGTTCAGGAATAATTACTCTGGTTGTAAAATTTGTACTTGGAAATTTGGCAATGACTTTCAAATATGGTTTCAATTAGCACTAAGAATAAATAAGAAGTTCACATTTTCTGAAATTTTCATCACAGGGAATGCTATCAATTGTAAAGAAATGAGTCTATAATGGATATAGTAATCAGAACTTTTGAGTTCATGATAAAACATGAGCAACAGCTGACCCTTCTAAAACAAAGACCTCTAGATAGGCTGACTAGATTCATCAGAAGGGAAAGTAGTGGGGAATGGCTGGGGGTGCCGACGACACAGCAGACAGTAGCAGGGATATCAGAGTATAAGGGCTCCAGCGGCGGGAGGGAGACTATGGGAGGGTGCTATCTGGGAAGTCGGTATAAAAAAAATAAAAATAAAAATAAATAAACTTAAAAAAATTAAAAAACACATGACCAATCAGTCATGATTTTCTGCATATTACATTTGCTATACTTTCTCTTTTATTTTTACACATTGTATATGGACTGAAGTATCATTTTCTGAACTTGTGGATATATTTAGGTACAAGTAATACGCACTGTGATTCAAGCTCTATAAATACAAACACACACACACACAATCTGATCAAGAACATATTTGAATGGCATAGATCTCTTTTAATGATCTGATTAATTCAGAAAATACCAGTTACATAGTTCACTTAGGATGAAGATTTTCTGAGTTCATACCTCTGCACTGCTTAGATTCTATGGATGACTTAAAAATACTCATTATTTTCCTCATAAAATTACTTTATTTGCTGGAGATTAAAAAAGAAACAGTGATTAAGTCCTTACTCATTTCAGACACAAAACTGAAGATAATTTATTAAGAAAAATGTTCATAAACTGTGAATGTTGATGCAAGTCATATTGTAAAGCTCATGTCACCCCATTGCTAGTGACAATAAAATCTTAGCTTGCTCTAGTAGCACATACACTATAAACTGGCTATAGTGATGAGACCTTACATAGGGAACAAGAAAGCTCTGTACAAGCTGCACACCTCACAAAGAAGCCACGGGCATCCATATTTTGAGTGTGTGTGATAACATGTTATATCTCTTAAAAAACAAGAAGGCTACCTATTAGACGCTGTCTACCTAAAAGTCATTCATTTCTGAAATTAGCATTTTTTGACTTTATACAAATTGGCTATACAAAGTATGGACTGCTTACTTTTGTGACATGTATGCTATGCCAAATGAATCTCCTAATTTTTCTATCTTTCAGCTGTAGACAAGAACTTATGTAAACTTTTGGAATGGGAAGGCATCATCATAAAAAGATGCAGAGTGCTCAATGAGATCATGCTTAATTTTTGTAGATGAAAAAAAAATTAATCACCAAACTTTAGGGGCTTCAAATTTGGGTATTTAAAATTTCCAATTCTGATGGGAATAGATATCTAATATCTCTGTTTCTTTTCAAAATTTGAAATGAATTGCTCTACATATTGGTGTTTGTTTATACAATGCATTATTTGCAATATCATATCCTTATTTTTAAAAGAAAATTATGGTATTATGCATGCATAAAACTAAAATTTTACAATTTAAGCTATATTTTATTTACTTTTGAATTTAGTTTTGAAAGTTTAAAGTTAAATCCTATTATTTTCCATAAGTCTGCCTTAGGGGAATTCTTTTTAATATATAGAAAGTATACCCAAACTCACTGACGTGTCCGTTACCTATTGAGTGCATGTTTCAGGGAATTCTTAACACATCAGAGTTTTCTGGTTTTGTTTTGTATTTTTGCACATGCAATGTGTCAGGGTAACAAGGGCTTGTATTTGCATTTCATTTCCTGAACTGGTGATTTACACTTTTAAAACCAAAATGACAACTCCGAAGTAGTTTCATTATCTTCTTTTGGACAAGTTTGCCGATAACTTTTCAGGGATCATAAGTTTAATCTAGAGGACATTACAGAAATTTTCTTTTTAAAGAATGTTCATGTGCTTTATGTACTTTTATAGTTATACAAGAAATGATGTTATTTTAAGTTGTATATAAAATACATTAAAATATTAATATATACTATTAATGGTAACAATGATAGATGAGTATGGTCAAATCCAATCCCTATAACTCAACTGCATCTTTTGTAAACAAGTACTTGGGATACTTTCAGTGAACAGAGTAATGGCCACACTGGATCAATGTTCAAATTCAAACTCATTAGTTCAATAAATTTGGGCTGAAAAAAAAAGACTGTGTGCTATACCTTATTTGACTTTTTTTTTTTTTTAAATTGTAATGCTTAAGTGAAGGGGTAAGCCAAGAAGATCCTTCCTGACTACACTTGAAAATTGCCTTGAATAATTACTGAGATTAAATTTCAGTGTCTTTTATAAAAAATACTACTTTCACAGAAATGAAGAAATACAATTTCAGGATGGTGGTTACAGTGGTAGAAATACATATTGCCAAGAAAATGTTAGCAAGAGATTTAAAAATTAATGTACAGCACCGCATCTCAGAACCATGTCAACAGCAAAATGATTGATAGTATTTTCCATATAAATAAAATCTTTAAACTTTTCATAGAAATCAATGGGGGCGAAAGTGCTTTTATTTTACCCTAATTCCTATGAAAATATTTCTGGATGTGGAGCAAATGACAGTTAAAAAAAAAAAAGAAAAGGTTAAAAAAAGACATTCATGCATTTAAGCCACCATTAGTCCGACTCTAATATAAGGCAGATCATTAATATTTTCCAAAACTATAACTCTAGCTACTTAAATTCTTTTAGTGCTTTTCATGACAAGGACATAAGAGGCCTTGGAAATGTAGGAGTTAAGATGTGTTTCCAACATGTTAACTTGCACAAACTTTTTTGAAACATCAAATATACAATAAAATGCTTTGCTTTGGAGAAATGATGAAAAGTCAGTAAGGAGAAAAAAACACACAGGGTTGTATAGAGTTTATCACAAATGACAGAGTAGATAGATGAAAATAAATTACATTTGCCTATGTGTCATCTTCAGTCTTAATGATGTGGAACAGGGTGACATTGAACAGGACCTGGTGGCCGTTGTTCCAGGCATAAAGAGCTCTATCTCTTGCATTGTAGTCAAGCATAGATATGTGAAAGTACTGGTTATGGAAGGGAATGTCTGTGTACTCATATGTGGAGGTTTTGGTGGAATAGGAATAATACACCTTGGCTCCAGTTAAGTGGGAGTTGGTGACATACAGAGTCCCACAGATCATGAAGGATTCACCTGCACTTCTCTTAGGGTAGCCAGTGCTCCAGCTCTTCATCACCTCCAAAGTATCTTGATTAAGTTGGCTGATGACAATATTGCCCGCATTCTGATTAGTTGCATACACAGCCCACAACCCGATTTCATCAGCCATTAGGTCGATATCAGAGAATCCTCCCCATGTGTAAGGGTACACATTGTGAAATCCAGCATACTCCAGGCTCCGCTGGGCAAGTACTCTCCCCAGATCAAAGCTGTATTTGATGATAATATTGCTTTGATATTTGTTAAAATAGAGCGAGCCATTGTAGACCACATGGTTAGTTCCTGCCCACTTGAAAGGGAGGTTGTATGTCCTTGATTCAGCTCCACTGACAAAGTCTGCAATTGACTTGTATTCACGGACTATTTTATTGTTAGTATAACTGTCCATATACCAGACCTGAAAAGAAAAATTAAGAAAAATGAATAAAAGAAATATTTGGAATGAACAAATTTCAGACTTTTATGAAAATTCCCAAATAAAGACAGTCAAAATCATAGTGTCATATTTAGATGCCAAATGAGTTAATAGTAACTTGATGCAATATGCTAGTATCACAGAGCATTGCAAGCTTACGTGTATGGAGGGCTGACAAGACGGCTCAGTGAGTAAAGACAGTGGAAGCCAAGCCAAAAAACTGAGTTTGATCCCTGGGACTGGCATGGTAGAAATCAAGAACTGACTTCTGTGGTTGTCTGCTGACCTAGATACATGTGCCAAGGCTTTTACATGTACACAAACACAAATTATTTTTAAAATGATATTTGTATGGAAAAGAAACAGCTGAATCTACTGCCTTCGGGTTAATTTGTTTCTTGTTTTTGCTTTCTTTAAAAAAATGTTTTTGGGCTATTTAGTGGTTATTGCTGAGTAGAGAAATAGGCTCCTGCTGCGAATGACACTGCCTGAGGCATCAACACGATCAGTGATAACTGCAAGGCATTAGCTTCATCCCATCCTTTGCTCTGAAAAAAATTCTATTTCATTTTACATGTCCAGCTTGTGTTTACTCGATGGTTATGACAGAATCCCCTAGTAACATTTGTTCACGGGATCATCTTGCAGTTTTTAGTGAGATCATTGCACTAATTTAATTTCATTTGTATGGCTCCATTAAGAATCTTATTTCATGCTGAATTCTATAAGTAGCGATGTGATGAGTTCTGACTATATTTAATTACATGATACAACATAATACAGGCATTGTCAACCTATAAAAACATCCTTAAACTTTCATTTGTGTTTCTTTTACAATTATCTCTAGCATTATATTTTGTTTGTATAGTGAAATAGCTCTTCAGTTTTTTTTTACTACATGTTAATTTTTATTTATTATTTTTATTTTATGGGTATGAGTATGTTGCCTGCATGAATATAAGGGCACTTGTGTCATGCAATGCTTTCAAAGGCTAGAAAAGGGCATCAGATTCCCTGGAACTGGATTTATAGACAGTTGTTAGCCAGCATGTGGGTGCTGGGAATCAAACTACGGTTCTCTGCAAGAGCAGCCAGAACTCTTAATTGCTAAACCATCTCTCCAGCTCCCTGTTTTTAAATATTAACAGCATGTGTCTTAAGAAATAAACAAGGATTTTTTTTTTTGGTCTTTTTGACAAAGTCTCCCTGTAGCCCCAGCTGGCTGGAACTCACTACGTAGACCAGGCTCACAGAGATCTGCCTGCCTCTGCTTCCTGAGTGCTAGGCTTAAAGGCATGCACCACTATGCCTGGCATACACAAGGAATTTTATATGATTGTGACTAGAACTTTTAAATGATAAAACAAGATTAAAATCAATAACAATTAGGTTAGACTATACTAGAGAATTAGAAGATGGGCTATATTACTAATAGGTTTGCTGTACACGTTCATACATGTTAGTATTTCCAACTGCAAAATATCTGGAGATTATTCTTTTTATATTGGAGTCTGTATCTTTAAGAAAATTAGTATGTCAAGAGAAAAAAGTATGTAAGCAACATACTCTGTTATTTTTTTCAGATGCTAAAGGATCCGTCATCCAAGCGCCAAATCGAGTTCCAGATGTCTTGACTGTAATGGGGCCTGTGATTTTCATCAATTTGCCACAGGCTGAAATTAAAGGAACATAAACATGTTGGGAGAAGGCAGCCAATAAATCCAACACAGATACTCATACCAACAGTGAAGAGAGGGGCTACAAAATCAAACAAATCCATGAGACTGAAATCACATATTCAGAGAGTGAGCCTCACGTCGATTCCAACGCATTTAACCCTAACAGGAGGCATGGTTTACTTTCTCAAGGCTCTAAACACAAAGCATGAATTTTAAGGAGAAAATGATTTGCACGATCTGAAAAGGAGTAAATGAGAAAGTCATTATCATTACATAAGTTAGTGCCTGTTTAAGAAGTTGAAAACATTGATTTCCAGAGGCCCATGTGTTTGATTACTAGTAGGCAATATTTCTCTCTTCCCCTAAGTTTTGCAGCCTTGGAGAACATACAAGCCAAACAGAAATCTCTCAAAGCTGATTTTCATTTTGTTTTGATGAACAATCGGTTCCTATGAAGGATATCCTTATAGAACATGAAATATAAATTCAGTCACAGACTACTTGAAAGGCATAGAGCTTTGAGGTATCCAATATACAGATGACAGAGCCTGATACAGCAATCATGAACATGCAGAGAATAGAACCTTAAAATATCCATCCCTCAGAGTCCAGGGTACCGTGTGATGAAAGATGCAGAAATACAGCATACGTGTGGATGGATGGAGGGATAGGCAGATATACATACAGATAGATAGAGTGTGTGGATGGAAGGATAGGCAGACATACATACAGATAGACAGAAATCACTTTGTCTGTGAGTAGGTCTTATGAATAGTGGGGGTTTCATAAACACCGAAACCAAAATCAGAGAGCAAATCATTTTTTATGAGATTTTCAAATAGCAGAATTTGAAAGAAATTTATTCTACATACCTTCAAAGATACTCTGCCTATAAATGTTCATCTAAACAAGGGAATATACTTTCGTTTATTCCTTGTTTGTCTTTCTAGTGTTCTTTACTTTTCTGGCTCTTGTTTTGTATTTATTCTTTCTCTGCCTAGCCTAAAAATTGGTAAATGTCTAGCTCATTGCTGTTGGCTTCTATGTGCCTGGACAGAAAAGAAGACATGCTCAAGGCAAATCATAAACAAAAGCAATTCTAGCCAAGAGCTTATTTGGGCTAATTTTTCTCTGTATACGTACCTCATAAGAATAATTTGTAATTGGCAGGATACCAAGTTGTACAGTTAAGAAGATGATGAATGGGAACATATTTTGGTCTATTATTGCAGTGGTAATGACAAGTTCAGTAATCCCCAGAATTTCAGGATCCTAAATTGAAATCAGTTCCCAACTTTTGTGAAAGAAAGTAGATGTGATGTCATTACAGTAGAGTGAATTATTTCGCAGTTTCCCAAGACATGATAAATCAGGCCAGGTATTCATGAGACTATGCCATTGAAGAATTCTATACTGAAGAATGAAACCTTTGTTTAAGCCTATTTGAAATATAGCAGCTCAGGTTGCTATAAATACATGAAAATATGAGTAAACAGTGTCAATTTCAACTAGGAAAAGTAAATATATTCTGATTAGATCTGAGTATTTGATCTGAAGACATGATAAGTGAAAGTGACATTTAATGGTGCCATACATATTTTCTAAATGAGATGAGACTATAAAAATTCTAAGTGTAAGTGGATTTAATAAAAAGAAAACCCCTTCTCTAAAGAAACCACCAAACAAAATATGTGGTCTTTTTCTTAAGAATGAAAAATAAGTATGGCTTAAAATGATAAACTAATGTCTGCTTTTATTTCCTTTATTTTCCATGATCTCATTACGATGATAGTGAGGTAGTATAACATTAAAAATAACTTGAAAAACCCCAAGACAAAGAAGACGGTACAAAGAGCTACTTGGAAAGAAGTTTCAATAAATTTCCAGAAGGCAGACATGATAGAGAGATAGATCGCCATCATGCCAGGCTGAGATGAGCTATGTCTGTGTTTAGACAGAGGATGTGGTGGCTGAGGAGGGAGAGGCGTTACCTGAGGAGGTGAAATATGAACTCAGAAAACTGTGTAAAGTGATGCCAGGAGTAATCTGGGGAACTGAAAACAGGCATTACTGAAAGTGTGTCAAGAGCAATTCATCTCATCTCCAGCCCTTGATGCAGTCCTCCAAAATCAGGTCAACATATCTATACAACTGTTTGTCAGTTATCTGATAAGACTTAAAAGAGCTGAGCAAATCAAGGGAGTGAGGCAGTAAGCAGTGTTCTTCCACAGCCTCTGCTTCCATTCTTGCCTTGAGTCGTTGTCTGACTGTCGTCAAAGATGAGCTATGCTTTGCAAATGTAAGATCAAATAAATGATTTTTCCCCATGTTGCTTTTCATCAGGGTTTTATCACAGCAACAACAACAACAAAACCAATTAAACAAAACACTTGCAAAATTACTGTGGAATATGAGTAGATTAATATAACAAACTAACGTAAGTATTGGAGGTCCAGCTCAAGGGTCTTGCATAAAAAGAAGCTTCAAGCCCTACATAAACACTCAGGAGTGACCAAAAGGACAAGCCCCACATAAACACTCAGGAGTGACCAAAAGGATTATAGTCCAAACATGCAAAGTTAATGGATAACATGGATTTCCAGATAGTTTCAAAATTTACAATAAAATTATCAGACATAAAAATGTTCTGCTAAAACAAAGTCTGAGAGCAGAAGAGACCTTTCTATCTTTAGAGATTTGTAGATAGTGCATTTGGACAGTGAAAGAAAGCACAAAAGACCTATTGGAAATGAAAAAATGTGATTACATTTTAAAAGTAGTTGGACAATTATAAAAAGTTCTCTCCATACTGAAAAATGATTAAAGTAAAAATAAGAAAAAAATGGAGATGTGGTATTGATTTAGAAGCACCAGTGTCTAAAGACCAAAGTTTTAGATGAAGAGACATAGAAAGATTTATCCAAAACATAGGGACTTTTCTCCATAACACACATTAGATTTTTAGGTAAAAGTGCTTATTATAATGAATTTTAGAAGGTCTACACTGTGGTGGTTAGTTTTTGTTAATTTGACACAAGTTAGACTTGGGCAGAGGGAACCTCAAATGACAAATTCACGTCTGCGGGAGTGTTTTCTTGACTGCTAATGGATAAAGGAGGACCCGGTCTACTTTGGTGGCCTGGCTGTATAAGAAAGGTAGCTGAGCAAGCCAGGGGAGTAAGGCAGTAAGCAGCGTCCGTCCATGCTCTCTGCCTCACTTCCTGTCTCCAGGTTCCTGCCTTGAGCTCCTGTCTAACATCCCACAAAGATGAACTATGCCTTGGAAGTACAGGACGAAATAAACCCTTTCTTCCCCAAGTTGCTTTTTGTGAGTGTTTTATCACAGAAAAAGAAAAAATCAGTACGAATCCCTGCAAAATATTGTGAAATATGAGAGGATGAAGAACAAATTGAAATTGAAATTTTTCAAAGCATTTAAACTGGTTACACATAAGCAAGTAACAGTTAAGTTTGAATTGAGCTTCCCATCAACCTTAATGGATGCTGGGACATAATAAGGATCAGCACTTATAATGAAGAAGAAAAATCCAAAGGGGACAGATTAGGATCTCTTCTGACATGCAAACATTCCAGAAATTTGCATACTATTTTCTTTCTTTCTTTCTTTCTTTCTTTCTTTCTTTCTTTCTTTCTTTCTTTCTTTATCTTTCTTTCTTTCTTTCTTTTCTTTTCTTTCTTTAAGTCTCCATGTATATTCTTATTGAATTTTTGTGCATTTCATACAATACATCTTAATCATATTCAGACCCCCCCTCCTCTTTCACACCTTCTGTCATATATATGAAGGCCTACCAAGTCTGTAGCCACATGTCCCTTGGTATGAGTCATCCACTGGAGTCTAGTCAGCCTGTCTAGAGTCACTGCCTTAAAGAAAATCAACCCTCCCTCACCCAGCAGTGATCAGCTTCCAACAGTTCCTCAGCTAAAGTTGTGGCCTCCTGCCCATTTCTTCAGCTCTATGTTGTGTTTTTGTCTGATAGAATTTGCATGAGTCTTGTGTATAGGGCCACCATTGCTGCAAGTTCATATAAGCAAGTTCCCAGAGGCCTGGACAACTGTTTCCTTATAATTATGCACCAACCCTAGATCATCCAACTTTTCTGCCCCTCTTCCACGAGGGACACGTACTCTGTAGTCTCTCATTCTCTACACTTTGGCCAATTGTGGCCTTTTGTGTTCATTGCCCTGTTGCATGAGGAAGTTTTGCTGGTGATAACTGAGAAATGCATTGGTATTCTCTCTACCCCCTGTTTTCCTGGGTTCTGTAAGTTTAGGAGTAAAGGTTACACTGTAGATGTGTCACTTAGGGCTGGGTATCTCACAGACACTTATTATCTCGACTTGACCAGTTGTGAAATTCTGTAATAATCTCCATCTGTTGCAAAAACAAGCTTCTTTGATGAGTGAGGAATAGTCTAGGAATAAGCCTAACTAAAGACAATGAAGATCTCTACAATGAAAAATTTTAATCTTTGAAGAAAGTTACTGAGGAAGACAAAAGGTGGTGGAAAGAACTCCTGTGCTCATGGGTCGGTAGAATATTGTGAAAATGACTATCGTACTAAAAGAAATTTACAGATTCAATGAAAAATTCCTATGACATTCATCACAGAATTAGACAAAAATCCTAAAATTAATATGTAATCACAAAAGACCCCATATAGCCAAAGCAATCTTGAGCAAAAAGAGCAATGCTAAAGGGATCACTTCACCAGATATCAAACTATATTACAGAGCTATAGTCATAAAACAGCATGGTACTGGTACAAAAACAAACTCATAGGTTAATGGAACATAATAGAAGACCCAAATATGAGTGCATGCAATTTCAGGCACCTAATATTTGGTAAAGGTGCCAAGAACGCACACCGGAGGAAGGACGCATGTGCAGTCTTAAGCAATTACTGGAGGATATGGTGCAGTGAAAAGTGAGTACACTGACAAAGACATGAGACCTGCATAAAAATGACTTC